AACAGACAGACCAATAAAAAAAACAACAGCTAAAATCCTTAAGAGCAACATTTCCTTTTTTTTTCCCCTCCGGTTACACATCCCATAACTAGTTTACCCATGAACCGAAGCAAAACAGAGAGCGAGAGGCAATGCATTACCATTACGCTTAACCACAGTGAGAGCTTCACGCGCCAAGGTACCAGATATAAAATGCGAGCCACCCCGCCGTGGTTGGGATAGCGGAGACGTACATGATAAATATCATCCGCGTATACGGTCGAGACTTGTAGGCGTGCATGGAACAAATAAGAGAAGAATTTATGGCAGAAGGGGCACACGATCCCAACAAGACGGCGAGTAAGAAAGCCCGATCCGACGGAATAACGTTTCCCTTGTGAAGAAAATGTATTATTGCAAAGCAAACCATCGGAACTAAGATAAGTCGCAGAACCACCGTCAGAATCGCAAAAAGCGTCGACTGGGACAAGGGACAGCAATCAATGTATCCCTTCGGCGTATCCGCGTTGTTATTTTCACATGGAGATTCCCCTTCATCTTCGCTTGCTGTTGTTCCAGCTCTAGTACCCTTGGAGGGACGCTTGCGTGCAGATGCAACGATGCAACCAAGTAACAGAAGCTGAAGCGGTATCGCTCCCGCCCCTATTAATTTCATTCCACCAATAAGCGTCTCACCCACGGGCGACTCCGCCAACCAACGCAGTGGCGGTACTAATGAAATAACCAGAGCTCCAAGCGTGGCAGCTATCGGCGGGGTCTTTAAAAGCGCCCACACACGTGCAAGCGCAGCTCGGAAAGCAGAAGATGCACGACCTGAGCAGCCAGGCTGAATTGCAGCTTCATTGTCCCCTGGACGATACCACGCAAGCTGCTCTTCCGGAGCTGCCATCCTTGCTTCCCCTTTTACATCATGCTTAGGGACCGTGGAATTTGAATTCCCTTCTGCAGGGTTCTCTGCGGCTTCCTCTCCTGCTCCTTCCGCTGATGTGCCATTTGCGCCCGGGGATTGGTTTTGCGCATAAGGGTAGTGAACAGCTGAGGCATTACCGACAGTATTCATTTGTTCCCGCATCTCACTTCTTTCTTCTTCTCTGGTGCGTTGTTGCAGCTGCCGACGCTGCAGTCTTTCCAGCAGCAGCCGCTTCTTACAATGTCTTATGATAGGCTCCCCCACGGACCATAGTCCGAGGGAGCAGACGACGTTGTACAGGAAAACGTAGGATAGCCCCCGCTGCCTGGCATCCGGTGTCAGCCACGATACACCTTTTATAGTTAAAAAAATTGCCAAAGCAAATGTAAGGCCGTTTTGAAACGTACACCCCACGGTAAGTACGCCGTGCCACTCCGGGTGGAGAAAGAGCTTAAATGCCTGTGAGCAAGCAAACCCAATAATGGTGGGGACACAGGCTAAGACGGGAGCCCAGTAGTACTGCTCCAACTCCATCCAGGTAACCTGCAGGACAAGGTTGGAGAATAAAAGACATGGGAGGAAAACAAAAAGCGAGATTGCACTGAGTCCCTTGACGCTCTGTTCCGGCTCAACGAAGTACCTTGAGACACAAATGCCTACAAAGGAGCAGAGAAGTATCTTCCCCACTGTCAGGGTTGTGATGGTCACGAGCTGCAGGACACCCATTCGCTTTTGGCCGCTGCTGCTGCTGCTTATGTGTCTGAGTCTCTCTCTCTCCTATGTACTCCTTCTTTAATATATATCCACGTTTTTCTTCTTTTCTTTTCTTTTTATTTTGCGCTTCTCCTTTTTTTTTGGCTTATATATCGTCAGGGCAAAAGGGACAAGGCAAAGAAACAAGCGCGGTGAAGCGGCAGAGTGCGCCAATGTTTCTCCTCTCTCCCACCCAGAGCAGCATCCCCGGAAGGGGTTGGGGACGCAGTAGAAAATCACAGGGAAGGGGAACCCAACTCCACTCGCAACTGCAGAGGGCGCACCACACACGCAGAGAGAGAGAGGGGGAGGGGGGACGAGCGCGGGTGAGCCAAACGGCTTGCAACAACACCAACACCAAGAATAACACAAAGATTAGGGAAAAAGTTAAGCATGCATTTTACCTCACCTTATAAACTCGCACACTGTGGAGTCGCTCCATCAGCTCCTCGTCCACCTCACCTTCACAGGAGGAGTGAGCTTCATCGTGGCAGGGGTCGTTCCCACGGTAAAGGGCGAGGAACGCCTCCCGCACCTCCCCCACGTCAACCTCATCCACCCAGGACTGATACCAACCCCCAGCGGCACCGCCGTCCTGCCTCTCCTCGCGCCGCCGCTTGCGCACGGCGGCATCCTCTCCGTGTGGAAGGGCAGGCCCAGAGGCAGTCATTTCACCGTTCATAACGTGGCGCACATCCGCTTCCGTGAAGGCGGAAAACGTTTTCTCCAGACCTGGGCAGCATATGAGCAGTTGTCCGCGGCGCGCCACAATCTCGCGAAGCCGTCGCCAACACCGGAGGTGTTCCACCGGCGACACAGCAAAGTACTCAAACACGTTATGCAGGACGACGACATCGGCCCCGCGAAGGGCCTCTGACCCCGCCCCTTCAAGGCAGTTGCTGTGGACAACGTCCAGCTGAAGCCCCACGGGTTTGGTCACGAAGCGCTTAATCACGTCCCGTTGAAGGCTTATCATTTTCTCGTCCATCTCCACGCCTGTCACTCGCAGTGTCTTTGTCAGGCGTTTCTGTTGTGCGGCAAAGTAGCAAGCGAGCAGCACGACCCCAAGCCGCGAACCCACGTCCACAACATGCCGACAACTGAACGGGGCTGTGGCAGAAGAGGCCGCCTCTTCACGTCGGTGCAGACGCAAGTCGGAGCTGACAGTGTACGCACCGTCACTGAGGGCAGGGAGCAAATAACACGAGAGATAGACTAACTGCTCCTGTGCAAAGGAATGGGTGATGTAGTCACAGAGGCCAATGTCGACTGACCCACACGTGCGACAGTACTCCCGCGCAATGCATCCCCGTTGCACCAGCTCCTCCACGTCCTCCTCCAGATAAATAAAGGCGTCCACCGGAAAGGTAGGCGGCTCCACTGCCCTTCTTTCCAGGACTGGTGCAGCACCGCATTGCTGGGCGCAGCTAGACACGGAAGCGGGCGGGGCGTTTGGCTCAGCAATCGAGCCGTATGGGACACTCCGCTGCAGGAAATGGCGCAGCTTTGTGAGTGACCTGTCCATCCCAGCGATCACCGCTTCCTCGTCCACCTCCTCTGCATCGGTTGCTCCCGCCCCGCCACTGGGATCCCGCGCCTGCTTCGCCCGGAGTTTGTGTTGCTGCGCGTAATATCCATCGAGGAGCAAGCGCAGAAGGTTGGCGTCGCTCTCGCCCCAGGTGCCGAAGCCCTTCTCATCCAAGATGCCTTGCAGCTGAATAAAAGTTGCCTCAACGTTCGTCTCCATCCGACTGGCGCGCTTGTATTCCTCCGTACACACTTTTCTCACAAGTATAGCAAAGTGCACACACACACACACGTAGATTTATATATATATATATATAACAGGGACGAAAGGGAAAAAAAAGTCAAGGCAGATGGAATAAATTTACAAGTATGACAGAGGAAAAAACAGATGCCATAGCTGAGTGAGGAGTCCAGAAGAGCGGCGGAAAGCAGGACGAGAACTCCACGCTCAAAGAGCCAACACATAATAAATCTCAAGAAAGCAAGGGAACGAGAAAACAAAACACAGCAAAAAAAAGAAGTGTGGGAGTTAGTACGTGCTGGTGGGAGGTGCATACATTCAAGAGAAACGATCAAGCGTCCAAGGCAGCACGGCACCTTCGACACACACACTGTGGAGATGGCACAAAAAAAAAGAGAGACAGGAAACGACTTTATTTCAAACAAGCGCCCCTTACGTCTCCTCAAGCCCCCATAATTAATGACTTCTGCGCATCTTTCACGAAGTGTAAGGAAGAAGATGTGTGAATGCGTACACACAAGATCAGAAAACAAATATATTCCAGTGAAATGCGATATTCCCTATTTCACCTCCGGATCGGCAAAGAATCCCCTCTGCCTCCAACTCCTCTAGCAAATCCTCTGCCACTGAGCGAGCTGCTTGAATACTCGCCGCAAATTGCACCTCATTGATAGATTTTAACGAAGCCCATGACTCTGGAAAAGTTGTTGTTGTTGGAACTTTCTCTTCAGAAACTATATTTTTAAAACCAGCGTCTTTGGAGTTACAGAGACGTGGTCCGAGGAAACGCACAAGCCTCTCCAACACCAACGAGGGGTTCTTGTGCTGTAGCGCAAGCCGCCCTGAGGAGAGTTGCTTAAATGTGTAGCGTGAGTACGGCTGCCTCGTCATGGTACGGCATGCCAGTAAGACGTCACCAGGCGAAACCAAATTACTCCCACCCCGAGCTTTATTATACAAGGAAAAGAGTTCTATCAGTGGAACCAGCGGCATACTTCCAAAAACACGTTCATTCTTCTCATGCGCCATCCATGCATGCATCTCCAGCGCGAGCTCTTTATGAAAGCTACCTTGGGAGGAGCCGCTGGATGGCGCTCGCACCATCGTCCCAAGGCCTAGCGTCGACTCAATGCCCTCAATTTCCGTCTCGTCTTCGATGGGGGTCTTGTCACCTGCTCTCTGCCTTTCCCGAAAATAGCGTATATTTGCCACCAAGGAAGAGGCCTTCTTCATCACATCATCGATGTCGCGCAGCGACTCACGCAGCTGAGCCTGCTCCGCAGAGGCCCGCATCAGACCCGCAATACCGGCCTTGTCTGTGACACTAAACACAGACGCTGACGAGGAGACGTTGCCTGCTTCCGTCTCCGCAGTACCCTGTCTGTGCAACCTACCAGCTGCTGCCAGCGCCCCCTTTGAGGCCGAGTTTGACCCCGGAGCTGAGGGCGCAGAGGACGTCAGTGACGGTGGCCTCCCAAACGGCGACGAGGGCGCTGTGGCTGCATCACGTGGCACAGCTGGAATCCAGCGCTTCTCGAGCAATGCCCTCTTCATGGCCTCGAGGAATTCATCCATGCCTCCTCTTCGAAAGGAAAACTTCACATACACGTCCTTGCCTGGGAGCGGAGCTATGATCTTGGCGTGCGAGAAGAGAAAGCCTCCCTTGCTGTAGACGCTCTTGCCAGAGCCGTAGATGGTTTGCAGCGGAAGCCGCAGAACATGCGACTCCCTGTCCAACGTCCGGAAAAAAATGTTGTGCGTGGTGACCGTCAGTTTTCCGTCCTGCCAACGTGTCTGATTTTCCCCCTCGTAGATGGCAACACCGTTCTGGGAGTTCAGGACAACCTCGTCATCCTCCATGCGTCCGTGGCCTGTCTGCCACTCCCAAAACTCCATTGCCTCCCCCCAGTCCCAGCAAGAGGCGGAGGGAAAAAAAAAGACAAAAAGAGCGAGGAAAAGTAACTGGGTGCTGCCCGTAGTGCCTGTCGGCCTGCCCGGAATTCAGATCTTGGAGCTAGTTGTGGGTGAGCGCCCTTTTCTGTTGTCACGGCACACGGAGAGATGCACGCCGCGTTGCCGGGAAAAGGAGGATAACGGTATCGAAGGACACAGTCACAGGGGCAAGCACAGACGCAAACACGTTTCACATCTGTGCTCCCACATTGCGAACTTATGCGAAGGGAGAAAGGGGCTGAGCACTGAGCTGCAGACAGGGAACGCAGAAAGGAGGAGGTGGAGGAGGGGACAGAATACAAAAGTAAAGCAGTACTAAGTGTTTGGTTTGCTTCAGCTTTCCGTTGTTTACTTTATTTACAGAAGGAATACATGCCACTGAATTTCCAATCTTTGACCTGCTATTTTGTGTATCCGGAAACAAACTCCAAATTTCCCACACACACCAACACACACACGCACCAGTAGCAATAAGCATCTAGCAAAGCCGCAACAGCGGGAAGGGGGAAAGAAAAAAAAAACAACAACTAATCAAAAACATGGGTTCACACCGAGCCAAGAACGAGTAGCATGAAGGAATGTTACCCACGTAAGCAACACTCTTTCCTCTTCCTCGTCTTTGTGTGTGTATACACGCATGCTTCTGGAAAATTTGCTGTCGACGGTTGCTGTGCAAGGGCAACGCTACAAGGTATGCATGCATAGTAATACGCTGCTGCAATACATCAAGCACAAGAAGGGGGCAACACCCCCTCCAACTGAAAAACAAAACGACGCAAAACTCACTCCCTTCTCCTCCGTGTGAAGGCTGTCCCTCAGACAATGCTGTCGGGATCCAACTGCTCAGCCCAGTTAATCAGCATGCCTATTGTGTCATCATCCATTGGATCTGCCGTTAAGTTCGCCCCAGCATGCACCTTCGAAGCCGGAAGGGCGCCTGAACGGCCCGCGGAAACAAGATACTCATCGTTGGCAATTGTCTCTCCAACTGAAGCCCACGGCATGTTTAATTCATTATGCGCGCTAGAGACACTCTTGACATCAGAGCGCGGGCCAGCGTCGTAGGCGTTGCTAAATGCATTCCCACCAAGATGACTGTTGTCATGTCTATCGCCCCCCTCTGCAGTTTCGCCACTCCATGAGGGACACCGCAGGGACGCCACATCTCCGCAAGAGAGGGTGGCAACTAAAGACGGCGGTGCCAACGGAGCCCCCACATCGTAAGGATGCCTCAAACGGTTGCGATACGCAGACGGTGAGGAAACCCGCTGCAACCTACCCCGCTTCTCTTCCATGGCTGCGGAAAGCGCCGTAGAAGTCAGAAGCGGCGTCACGCCATCTTCTGCAGAGGTGTTGAGGGGAAGCTTAGAAGCGGGACAGTCCCACGGCACACTTGGGAAGGCTTGCCCGGTGCCAGACGTAAAGCCGGTTGGCTGTTGTGCTTGCTCTTCTGACTCAACTGGCGGTAATGCCCGAGGACCCTGATGCCCCTTTAAAGGCTCGCCAGTGTCGGGAAAAACATGTTCGGCGCCGGACAGATTTCCAGTGTACAACATCTGCAGGCGAAGTCGTCGCTCGACGCGCCGCTGCACCTCTTCCTCGCTAAGTCCAGGACCTTTTTTTGAGTTCTTTGGTGCCTTTCGCTCCGGCAATGGCTGGCCCGCCTGTTGGTACTTTGTCTTGGTGTCTAACGGGGCTCCTCGCAGCAATTCCCTTAAAAGGGGATTTTCCCGGACTTGCGACGAACCTATGAGGGACGGCAACAAGCCGGCGGCAGCATCCGTGGCTGCCGGGGGTGGGGCACGCTGGTGAGAGGCCCCAAGTATTCTGCCAGTGCCTATTTCCGCATGCACAACGGCGGCGGAGTTGGCTTCCAGAGAGCCCGTGAGATCCTTCGTGTACAGCTGCCTGTGCCCCATCAGCTCGCGGAAGTCCCTGCTTGAGAGCGAGCGAGTTTTTTTATTCTCCGTCCCCTCACTGCAACTTCTGGACGCCACGCTGGCGGAGCTACTCAGGGGCGCCACCCCGGCGCCGGCCTCCTCCTCAACAAACACGCCGACGTCACGCACCGTCGTCATGAGGCGCAGCGTCTTCGGCTTTGGGTTCCGGGGACCCCGGCGAGGCCCAGACCGCGGTGCAGAGGCCGTGGGCTCCACGTGCGTCAAAGTGGCGGAGTCAACCGATGCAGCCCCGCCCGCCCGCACATCCCCCATGCTAGCAGGGAAGTGATGGCTACTTCCTTGGCCGCCGCCGACACCCCAGCGTGAGGCCGCCGAGGTGAGCCCATCTGGGGAGCCGGCGGCGTCACGCCGTAGACGCTCATTCTCCTCACGAAGGTCCTCGATGACCTTCATGAGTTTGTACTCCTGCCACGCACCAACGTACATGGCGGACGCAGGCGAAATGATGCTGCGTGGGCACACACTCACGCACACAAAGGCGGGTAAACAACAACAACAACAGCAATAAAACAGCAAAACGAAAGAAACGAGGAGGAAAGTAGTACAGGTTTCCCACCACGTGGTGCAGCTTGACAGGATGGCAGGACGTCATGCAGAGCGTGTCAGCAGGATTCAAAAAGGAAATCCAACAACACAAGATTAAAATACACCAACACACAACTAGCACAAAAAGAAGCAAACAATATATATATATAATATATATATATTTAAAAAAACATGTATATTTCTTTTTATACAAATATATAAACACACATGCATCACAGAATACAGCGGATGTCCTGTTTTTGTTGCCTCGATTTTTTTTTTAAAATTGTTCTCACGCTGCCCAAGTTCTAAGAAACGATAACTTGTGTGCGCAGCATAGAGTACACTATCCTCCCCATACAACACAGCAGAGGGCAGACACGCACACACATTCTCTCTCTCTACTCCCTCTCTCGCTCTATTCCTTCGTGGTTCATGAACGGCATTGCGGCGCCGCGGCAACTTGGACCCGGGCAATACACAACCAAACTGCAGAAAAAGTTGAGTGCGGCGTGCGACGGGACACAGTGCACGCAGACACGATTTCGAGTGGGCATCAAGTTGCAGCGGGGGAAAAGAAGCCTCTCGCCGCTGGAAAAACGCAGTCGGAAGGCACAAGTGTCGAAGAGCGAACGCGCAGACGCCTATGCGCAAAAGGGACCCAGTTAACGCCGTCATGAAGTGGAAAAACAAACACGCAAACAAAGCCGTAGAGAAAACAAGCAAAAGGAAAAACAAAAAGAACGAAAGGACGAAAAACAACAACAAGAACAACCACAGCACCAAGCATTCCTTCGCCTCAATGTGACGATGCCGTTTAAGCCTCATGGCTTTTTGTTTTCCCTTCCTGCTTCCTTGACATGCACACTCCACCCTCTCGTCAGCCGCCCCACGCTGCTTCTCGCCGCCGATTCCCCCGCGCGGTTCCATGAAAGTCCCTCGACGTCGCTACCAGCCATTTCGTCGTGTGCCAAAGGCGTCGTGCGTGCGTGCTCCGGACCCACCGTGTGTCTCTTTGAGCGCCTTCCTGCGTGAGAGCGCCTGTCCTGCGGCCACCATGTGCTCTTCAATCTCCAAGGAGCTCCTCTCCTGCTCGCGTAGGGTGTCAAGGATCATCTGGCACCTTGCGTCCACGTCCTTCGTAATGTTTGTGAGATGCTCTCGCAGCTGGTCATCAAGAGACCCGAAGTCGGCTTGAAGGCCATTAATGTCCGCCCGGTGACGGGTGAGCTCCGCGTCCACGGCACGGGCACTGTCCTCGACGCTGCGGAAGTTCTTGTCGGTGCGCTCACAGAACTCATCTAACGCGTCACGGAGTTTTTGCAAGCTGCCACGGCTGTTCATCTGCTCCACCTCACGCAGAATCTGCTGTGCCTGCTCTGACTGCTCCCGCCCGACGGCGTTGACGGCGTCGCCCAGCTGCCTGCTTTCCTGGGCCAGGTCTTCCAGGTCCTGGTGAAGTTGGTCTTGCCGGCTCTGCAGGGCCCCTAGCTCCCGCCCCATACTCTGCACCCCGCGGCCGGCGTCCTCAGCCGCCCGCGCGGCTTTTTCACCCAAACCCCGGGCCTCGTTGACGTCGCGCGCCACATTCGCCAGCCCCTCATCCAAGTACTCGAATTGCTGGCGCAACTTTCGCAGCGTGTCGGGGCCGGCATTTCCAAGCGACTTTTCAAGTTCCTTCTGACGCATGCTCAAGCCGTGCACCTCATCCTCCAAGTCAGAGAGGCGGAGATTCATCTGGTGCTGGAACTGCGCCTGCTGCTGCTGCTCTTGGATAACCCTCTTCAGGACGCCGTGAAGGTGCGACCCGTCCATTTGAAACCCCACCAATGGGCGGCTTTCCAGCAATTCCATTGCTTCGTCCATGACTCGTCCTTTTGCTTCCCGGCAGCAAGTACGCCGGAGCGGTGGTCGCCCTATTGCGTCGTTCTCGCACTGTGCAAGCCGGCAAGAGCAGTCGGGGAAAACAAAAGACGGCAGACAGCAGACAAAGTAAGAGCAGGCGGCAAAGCAAAACGTAAACGCAAATTCAGGGACACCCACGTCGCCGTTCAGCGGGAACAGCGAAAGCAAGAAACAACTTGGACACCAGAGAGAAAAAAGCTCGAAAAAGAGGATTCAGAAGGAAAGAAAGAAAGAAAAAAACTCTCCTTGAAAACCGTAAAACTTCTCCACTTGCAGATAAGCGTGGAGACTGCGACTTTCCTGCTCATACCTGGGCACAGGTTCTGCGCCCTCCGCCCCATTGCATTTCGTTTCATTAGGCACGCCCTCACCACCCAAGCGCACGGACGCAGTGAGCAATACACGCGCGTAAAAAAAAATATGAACTTACACACACACGCATACATACAATGAAACAAAAAACTGGGGAGGGGAGAAGAGTAGAGACTGCTCACACGCCAGATACGACTTCCACTGCGTCCAAGAATAAAAAGAAAAAGAAGCAGCAAACAAGTTTCGCGGTTTTTCGTTTTCTTTTTTCAAATGTCGTGTTCTCTATCTCATGTATGGCGTATGTAAATAAGTTATGGGTGATGCGGACCCCCCATCTGTGTTAGTAGCATTGGCATGCAACATGCTTAAATGTTCCTCACCTCTGTCAGTAATTACGTGAGGGATGTATTCAGTCATTTTTTTTCCATCCGCTGACTTCAAAAAGGCGGTTCCGTCCAGTTCCTTGACAGGCCATGCTGCCCTAGAATTGTTTTCCTCGGCCTCAGCATTTACTTGTTTTAGGCAACCGCTCCCATCGTGTTCTTGGCACGTTCGAGGCACAAAATCACTTGACGGGCGCGCGTAGTACTGCACGGCGGCTTCATCTGCGCTATCCCTCCTTACGTCACCCCCGGAGGGAAGGGTGTCGATATCCACTAGGACTCTTCTAGACGGGTCCTCAACCCACCTGAATCGTACGGCGGCACCGTTAATTGGAATTTGATCCACCATAACCACATCCGCCAACACCACTGATCCACTCAAAGGGATAATGTTTGGCAGGCCGGAAAGAAACTGCAGGTGAGGATTGCCCCGCTTGGAGATATACAGTGACCCCTTCATTGGCTGCTGTCGTGGCGACACCCCAGTTCCGCCGTCACTGCCTCCGCCTGTGACCGTCTTCTGAATAAGTCGGAGTAACCGACGCATCGGGTAGGTGGTTGCGTCCATTTCTCGTATCTGCAGCTGCAGAGGGTAGAGAGATGGGTTCGCGTTGAGGCGCCATCGGCATGGCACCACCTCCACAAGCCCCGTCACGGTGAGAGAGTTGTATATGGAAAACGCAACGAGTTTTACGGGAAAGTCACCATTGGCATCGTCGCCTCCTTCACGGTAGAAATGACGATGCGGTGTGTGCTCCTCGTCCACCTCCCCCGCAGAGGGCGCCGGGTGCTGCAATTCAGCAAAACTCGCGTGAGGGGGAAGTTTTGGTAATGGAGAACAACCGTTGCTGCCGAAAAGCTCTTGTATGCCACACCACCAATGACACCCCCTCTCCTTCTCTGCCTCACGCAATTCCTGCTTCTGCTGCTGCTGCTGCTGCGATGCTGCTGATGGAGGCGGAGAGAGCGGCGGTACACGGAAGCGAGGCGTGTGTGGCGAGCAGTGGCCCCTGCTGCAGGCACGATACTTTGGGACCTCCGGCGGCGTCGCCGCGTGGCTCGTGGCACGCCGCGAGGGCAGACACCTGGGTGGAAACGCACGCTTAAAAGTCATCAATGCGGGGCGGCGGAATCGACGTTGCCCCACCGCCCGCTGCTGCTACTGTTGTTGCTTCTACACCTCTGAGAGACGCGTTGCGCCCACTCGACGCCTTTCCCCTCCCGAAGCAACGACGGGATGAAAGGAGAGAGGGGCTGCAAGAACGAAGACGACACACACACGTCAGACGGTGAGAGCACCGCACACTGCCGAACATACCCGCCACTTCCAGCCTAACACGCACACACACACACAGAGGGAAAGAGATAAAGTAAAAAAAAAAAGCTACCACAGCCACAAAACACAGCATCGCCGGGTGATATCTTTACCTTATCACGTGGTCTTCATTGCGCCTCTCATAACGGAGTAGCTTCGCAGCACGAGCGAGGCGAGGAGCAGCGTCACCGCCAGAAGGAGCCAGAAGAACTTGGAGTTCCAGTTCACCGCAAACCCTTCCGTGTTTCCGCGATCGACGGGGTGTTGTGTCTGCCTTCTCCTATGAGTCGCTGCATGGGCTCTCGCCTTCCGTGCCTGCTGAACGCGTGAACCCACATGAGCGGTGGTCCCAAAACCCGAATAGTCCCCAGTGTTTTTTTCGGAACAAGGAGCATCATTCCCATCACTGCCCCCCTGCGCCTCCTCCGCTTTGACACGCTGTTCACGTGCTTGGCTCTCATTTTCCTTCTCACGGTCCTCCTTGCAGCGGTTATACGCCGCCTCATCTATCGCGCCGGCGTGAAGTAGGACCTGGGCGATTTCGTCGCATCCACGCTCGGCCAACATAAACGCCACATGTACCCCGTCCTTTGTGAGCACTTCCCCCAGCCACCGCCGAACGTAATTTGCCTCCTCTGCCCCATCCACAGAGTTAAGAAACTCCACCATGAGTTTTACGGCATCCACGTTTTGCGTGGCGATGGCGTGGTGAATAAGCGTGAAGCCGTTCGCTACGCTGTGGTGCAGAAACGCCTCCTCTATCCCCTTCTTTCCTCCCCGCTTTAGCAGCGCATGCAGGAGCAGCGACAGCACACCCGCCGCGGTAGCGCCTGAGTAGGCCAAAAGCAAAACAGAGAATGGGGTGTGGCCGCACTCGTCCACCGCTGCGGGGTTCGCGCCGAGCTGCAACAGGCGCTCCACAGTTCGAAGCAGAGCGCCCTCGTTGAGGCTCGGGTAGGAGAGAAGCAAATGCAGCGCCGTGCACTCCGCCCCCGCCTTCGCGTTCACGAGAGCCTCCACCGCTGCTGGGTCCGTGTTCGCCATCTGTGTCAAGAAATCCAACAGCTCCACCAAGACGCCATCGGAGCCGTTGTCGATCTCCGAGACAGCGGTGTGCAACACCGTGAACTGAGACAGGTCCTTCACGGCAAGCAACTCAAACGCCGACACGACAACGGGAGAGCGACCGTCCAGGCCGAGAGGCCCTCCCTCTCGGTCTGCGTTGTGCGTGGTAGCGGCCTCAAGGACGTACGAAAACAGCGCTGCAGCATTTAGCGAGGCGAGGACATGCAGCGGTGTACGACCCTCGGCGTCGGTCACCAGCGGGTTTGCACCGCAGCGCAAAAGCAGCGCCACCGCGGCGTCGTCCTCCCCCCAGCACGCCGCATGGAGGGCGGTGGAGCGCTCCGCAGAGTCCTCGGCAGCGTCCACGTTGGCGCCGGCGCGAAGCAGCAGGTGCAGCCCTGCCTCATCCACCCGCTGCCTCACGGCGTAGGAGAGCGGAAGCATCTTCCTTGAGTTGGGCCGGTTCACAAGCAAAGCAGCCAGCTCGCGATTGACGGCCAGCGTCCCGGCGCCGGTCTCTTTGTCCTCGGTGCGGGCCAGCAGGACCTCCTCAAGACCCACAACATCGCCCTTCTTTAGACAGTTCCAGAACTGCACCTCGGTATCCGACGCCGAGAGCTTGGGTGCCGGCTTACGAACATTTTTCGCGGCCTTCCGCTTCATCCCTGAGAGAGACGCACAACAGACACACGCACCAAACGCACAACGTTGACGACTGCGCTTCTCGCTTCTCCGTCTCCTCGTAAGCCAACACGACGACACTGTTCACTGCCCCCTCCCCCCTACCCTCTCTCTCACAAACACCCACAAACGCACTCGCAAGAAGAGGCAAAACAAAAAAAAGAGAAGGAAGTACAGCTGTCTACAACCACGCGTACATCACATTACGCCAGCTGCCTTTGCATTGTAGAAGAGACAAAACATGCACCACATGCGCAGCCCTCACCCGCAGAACCAGTAGAAGGAAAAAATACACATGCGTCTTCCATGCAGAGAGGCACCTCCACTTTTTTTTATCTATCGCTCTCTCTTCACCCTTCACCACAGCAACACCCAAGAAGAAAAAAACACAAAACACC